AGAAATGAGCTTACTTTTTACATCCATATAGGATCATTCGAAATTTGTGATTTACTGCCGCACAAATGGCATCGTTCACATGCAATGCCCATATTCCCAATAGTTCCTGGAACGATCAAAGCAATCAAACACACAACACATTCGCAAATTTATACAAAAAAAAAAAAAATGAGATTTTCAAAAATTTATGTAAACTATCAAAGCGAAGAGTTTGGATTCGCATTTAATCACTTTCTACGACTGGGGGAGATACTATGAAGCATTGGGGGATTCAGGACGGGAGAGGGAGGAGGGGCCTTTCATCTCCCCACCTCCCCCTCAGAGGCTCAGGTAGCAGCTGTTTTACTGCATAAAAGTCTGTTCGATACCCCCAGTTGCAACCTCCCCCCCTCCCCTCCCCCTGCCCCAAAAGCCTTGCCGGTCTCAGTTTAGTGCCCACTGGCGAGAGCTGACGAGCAAGTTCAATTGCGGTACTGAACAGGAATGTATACACGGTTCAGTAGAAAAAAAAACTCGTTTTCAGTTATTTTTATGCTTTTTTGCTATGTAACAACAGTACAAAACGTATATTGTCACAAGGTTGTCTGTACGTGCGTGTGTATGTATGTGTGCGTGTTTGTGTGTGCCCCGCAGCAACTTGTTTATTTATTATTTCTCATGTATATCACAAATTTTTCTTATTTTTTGCATAATATTCATATTCTTTTACTTATCATTTTTAACTTTCTCCACTTACATTTTCTCTTTTTACTAATATTGTAAAAATCACAGATAACTATGCAAAAGCGTCCGAAAAACCGAACCTTTGGAAGGAACTTTGATGAAACGGATGTAAGTAAAGCAGCAGTACCATTCGAAAGAACAATACAAAATCCGCCAACCAATGGTGCATATGCTATGTCGACAACGTGAACACCCGCTTCTTGCACATGTTCGGCTGTAAATAAAAAAAAAATACAAAAATTTCTCGAAAAATTATCGGGCAAATACCTTATTTCCTCCTCTTCTCCTCTCCTTCTTTTTCTGTTATTTTAAAGTGCTTCCGTTAAGCTGGCAGTCCTTCTTGGAGATTAAAATCCAAGGGCCGTTAGTAGTCTGACCACCAGACGATGTAGCACGGTCAAAACAACTGCAACAGGTGTCAGCTGCATGGCTGCACAGCCAGTTGTGGTAACGGTAAGAAATGTATACGATTTAATGGACCGAAACATTTTTTACCAATTATAAATATTTTAATAATTCCCTTCCTCTTTTTTCACTTCATTCTCCTTCTCTTCTTCGTTTTCCTCACTTTTTACCTTACCTTTAAATAAATAGCTAGTTAAATTAATTAAAATTATCAGAGCTAATTAAATTATTCGATTAAATTATTTTAAAATTATCAAAGCTAATCAAATTATCAAAGTATACATATTTTTTACATATAATTTTTCTCTTTTTTTAATCAATTCCTATTTTCCTTCATTTTTAGCAAAAAAAGGGAAAAAACTTCGATGCTTATGCAGATCAAGCCAAATTCGTACCAATTCATAGTGTTTGCAGTAAGTAACTTACTTTTCGATTGTAGTTGGTCGACAGCAAATGGTACTTTGGATAAGTGAAAGGAAAAATTCTGGTCAACGACACCATCCCAGGATATTCGATGTAACCATCCGTCACGTAAACAAACGAATAATTCTTCACGTAAAGGCACAACACTGAAAAAAAAAAATGCAAATTGCCATTCATTTTCGTGAATATAATGATGGAACATGTAACTACTACTCATAGTACCAAAAAAGTACCTATTTTTCTTAAAAAAAACACACATATTTAGAAGATTCGCGGTATTTGCGAGAAAGGGCCTGTCTCTGTTTCATCCCTGAGCTGTAAACACAGATGGCAAAATCGACGCGAAATGGGGTGGGAATCATCCGTAGTACAGTGCCCAGCTAAAGTTTTGTTAAATGTTTCCATTGAAAAAGCTACTGAATGGGCAATCCCTTCCGAAAGAAACATCAAAAAATGACCAGTAAGCTGACCACCAGACTAAAGTATGTACATTACTCACATACTAAACCTTCATCTAAATTATCTTTGTTGCCATAGCTGTCCTACTGACGAGGTGCAGTTGTGGTAACGGTAAGAAATGTATATGACTTAATGGACCGAAACATTTTTTTCTTACCAATTACAAATATTTCTGTACTCCCTTTCCCCCTTTTTTTCCACTTCGTTTTCCTTTCCTTCTTTTTTCATTCCCCTAAGATTTTGATTGTATCAAACTAACCACGTTGCTGGACTGTCAATACGTGCAACAACAGATAAATATGCAGCAACTTTTGGTCTCTTCTCTCGATTTAACAGCTCCTGTGTTACAACAGTATGCAGAAAATGCTGGTCACGTGGTTCCGTCAAATGAAATGATTGCTTATCGTATGAAATATCAATACGATAGAGTAATAAACAGTTTTTTGAAGTCTGAAAACATTAACCGGTTTTCCATTTATTAGAAAAACTACGGCAAATATTATTCTGTTTCAAGGTTTCGACCAAACTATATATTCTTAGGCTTTTATTTGATCTGTGGTTCTTCATTTACGGTTCCACTTATTTCTCCACGTTATAAATTTAAACTAATTTCTCCATCCACTACATTTGTCCGACCTTTCGTTGGCATTTAACTAATTATTAATACACAGAAAAACAAAGATTTTTGAGGCAGAAAAGGCAAAATTTTTGTTGTAAGAAGATTTCTTGAAAGATTCACAAAAATTTTTCTGGTCGCAAAAATTTAAAATCTTCAAAAAATCCATGGTTCGAGGGAAGATAAAGATCTCATAAAATAAAAATCAGTTGAAAAAACCCGGAAGAAATGTACAAACCGTGAAGCAGACTGCTGAGGAGTCATGCCGCCAATATGCTTTACGATATTCACCTTTTTTCTTCACATCTTCCTCAGATCGTTTCAGTGTACAGAGCAGCAACTGAGGCTAAAATTCATTATCATTATCATCATTATCACTATCATTATCATCATCATTATCATTATCATCATTATCATTATCATCATCATTATCATTATCATCATTATCATTATCATTATCATCATCATTATCATTATCATTACCATTATCAACTTCATCATTTAATGAACGTGCAAATTTTCTTAGAAACCTAAAATGCTTCATTATTTCTCTGACAGTCCAAACAGATGCTATTTCATTGGTCTCTTAGCAACTTCGCCATTCTTCTTCATTCCAGGCTTTTCCCATTCACACAGTTCTACGTAGAAATTCTATTCAAAGCAAACGAAAAAAGTGGAAAAATGAGGTAATAACTTACATGCGCCAAATATACATAAATTACGGATGAGGTAACAGCAACGAAGAGTGTTCGATCCCTGTTTCCAACAACACAAAAAACCCGCGATTCTGCACCACCACCGCTACTGCTACTGCTGCTGCTGCTACTACATCCTGGTAACCTGAGACTGTGCTCGCTACCATTCTGAAATAGTAGAATGGAAGGATTGGTCTTAAGTGTCATGTGCCGAAGGACATTTTACTATCCCGTAAGTCTGTGTTTCATCTCTTAGCTGTATACACAGATCGAACTATGCATGCGGGTAGGAGCGGAATCATCAGTACAGCCTGAAAATGTACTACTCGAGCAAAAATATGCAAATTACTACTTCAATTAAAAGTACAATGAATGTGAGGTAAATATTGGTGAGTGCTGCATAGAAGGAGGGAGGAATGAGGCAGCTCAAGACATGAGGTAAAATTAAGTAATCCACCATTTTACTGTTCTTCCTTCGTGACTTTACCCACGGGTAATCCTACCCACCCCTCAAGATTTTAACGGCAGTGAGATAACACTGATAATCCACCTTTTTACTTTTCTGTCCTCATGACTTTACTCACGGGCAATCCTACCCACCTCTCGAGGTATCTCACTTTTAACGACAATGAATGTGAAATACTGGTGTACAGCATAGAAAGGGTGAGGAATGGGGTAGCTCAAATCATGAGGTAACACTGGCAATCCACCCTTTTACTGTTCTTCCTCCATGACTTTACCCACGGGTAATCCTACCTTTTCTCCAAGGTATCTCATTTTTAACGGCAGTGAATGTGGAGCAAATATCTGCATACCGTACAGAAGAAGCGAGGAATGAAGTAAAAGAAATCATGGGGTAACACTGGGAATTGGCTTTTTACTCTTCTTCCCTCATGACTTTACCCACGGGTAATCCTACCCACCTCTCGAGGTATCTCATTTTTACGGCAGTGAATGTGAGGTAAATACTTGCATAGCGTAGAGAAGAAGCGAGGAATGAGGTATCAAAAATCATGGGGCAACACTGGTAATCTACTCTTTTACTGTTCTTCCCTCATGACTTTACCCACGGGTAATTCTACCCACCCCTTGAGGTATCTCATTTTTAACGGCAGTGAATGTGAGGTAAATACTTGCATACCGTATAGAAGAGGCGAGGAATGAGGTAATAGAAATCATGGGGCAACACCGGTAATCGACCTTTTACTGGTCCTCCCTCATTATTTTACCCGCGGGTAATCGTACCCACCCCTCGAGGTATCCCATTTTTAACGGTAATGAATGTGAAGTAAATACTGGTGTACCGCACAGAAAGGGTGAGGAATGAGGTGGCTCAAAACATGAGGTAAAATTAAGTAATCCACCATTTTACTGTTCTTCCTTCATAACTTTACCCACGGGTAATCCTACCCACCCTTCGAGGTATCTCATTTTTAACGGCAATGAATGTGAGGTAAGTACTTGCATACTGTACAGAAGAAGCGAGGAATGAGGTAATAGAAATCATGGGGTAACACTGGTAATCCATCCTTTTACTGTTCTTACTTCACTAATTTACCCACGGGTAATCCTACCCACCCCTCGAGGTAGATCCTACCCACCCCTTCAGATTTTCCAGAAAAAAAAACACGAATAGTTCGAGAGGAAAATTTACCGGTAAAAACATGACTGCCTGCGGTGAATACGTTTGTAGATAGCTCCGGTATGCAGAGCAAAATTACTGAACGTGTTCCAGCATCACGAAGAGACGGCACGCTAGAAACTCGCAGCTGCCTCTAAAAGATATATTTCATATTCAAAGAATTTGTAAAAAAAAGCCCGGATTAAAGGAATAGATGAACCGAAACATTCCTATTCAGGTTTTATTAATCCGATTTATCTTATTCACCTTTTTCCTTTTATTTCTTTCTTTTTAACCCTTACTTTTTACATAAACATACATCATCTAAAATTAAAATTACAATTGTGTAAAGGCGATGCCCTCACCTTGCCCCGCTACCCCCAACCAAAAACGATAAAATACAAAAATAAAACTAAAAGGTGAATCAATGAAATTCGATGAAATTCCAGTCGAACTTCGAAAAGCGACATTCCCACTGTAGATCGAATCTCCGACAGGAATCCGATTCCTCATTCCCAAACCACCTTTTCCCAGTCGACTTTCCTATCGTAGACTGAATCTATGAAGGCCCTAAACTATCCCTGGTTCCCATGGCATTAAGTTTAGAATCTTGGATTCGGAGAATGTAATGCGTGATATCTCTTACAGAACCATCAGTAATAATAACAATGACAACAACAACAACAGCAACTATGATAATGATAGCAACAAACGATAATGATGATGATAATAACAATGATAATATTGCTATAATAAATACAACTGAGCAATAATAATACCAAAAACAACAGATAGCCATCTGCGGGTATCCCATGTTAGTGATGTTACTGGAATGCTCCCACACGCCGAAGGCAACTGTACTCCTCCCACCCCGCCCCCTCCCCTCCCCCTTTTGACCCCAAACCTGCAAACCTCCAACCAGCAACAACTGCTAATCGAACGCATAAACGACCACGCACGGACAAAAATTCAAGATTTTCTTCATGGAGACCAATATTAGGAAGGGGAAATCCGCGGCCCGAACCGTGGCCCGGCGTGCAAAGCATTCGTCTCGGGAATTAAATTATCAGGCGAACAGGATTGGCGCAGTGGTAAATAGCACTGCTGTCATGCGGGAGATTTAGGGTTCGATTCCGCTGGTGGGACAGCCAGTCTGCCTGCAGATCATTCATTCGTTTCGGTGGTAAATTGGTGCTGGTATCTTTCGCAGTACAATCTTGAACGAAAGTCGCCTGAAAACCATCGTTTTTTGTTTGGGGTTTTTTTGTATCGTTTTTTGTTTTTTTTTTGTTTTTGTTTTTTTTTTTTTTGTTTGATATGAAATTCCTCCAAATATCAATAAACCAAACAAAGCGTTTTGCCCGGTGGCATCAGTAAGTCTCGAGCGCGAAGAGATAATCCTATACAACGTTCTTCAGGCGAAGCATTTCGTTTTTATGCGTTTTTGCCGTGCAGCGCTAGAGCGCTGCAACAGGCAGCAAAAACGCAT